GTCAGCCAAGCATGCCCAGCCCCGAGGTTTGCAACCCCCGAGGCTCGAACTGGTGCTCTGTTGAGTAAAAATTCGACGCTCTAATCATGGAAGCACGGGCTTGAGGCTCTGTCAGTTGCGACTGGTAACAGTAAATATGGTAAAGGATGCTAACTGGTTGTTTTACGGGACCCTCTCACCCTTGTTGTGCTTAGGGGCACAATGACTGCAGATACGAGGTGAACAGCTGTGGATAAAGACCACGGAGACTTTATTCAGGCTAGGTACGGATGACTGATGGCGGGTAAAAAGCCAGAAACGGTCATTCCACTTGCCCCTGTCTTTGTTGGTATTCATTCTCTGCCTATATCAGTAGTCGCTGTTACCGCCAATGGCTCTCACATCGAACCGCCGGACACAACGCAGCCAGCAGGTCCTCTAACGCAACCAGTGAGCACCCTCTACGATAGTAAGGTCGGTACTTGTGAAGACCAGAAGGATAAGACTGTTGAAAGGTACACAACGCTGTTCACAAACTCCTATCTCGAAAATCAAACCCATGAGCTTCCAAATAATAAGCAGACCAACTCTCACCTATCTGCCTATCTAACCTCAAGCTGTGGCCACCACGCCAAAGTGGACCACACTACTGGATCAACAGTATTCATTGAGGGCGTTCACGCACACGATAATTCAACTGTTACAAGTTCGCGCAGATGAGTGCAACCCAGACGCGTATGGATATGTTTATAAGGACACTAACCTGCTATTCATTTACATTGTAGCCTTTGCCTGCGCCCAATGTGCTCTTTTGGCAAGACCAGGTCAAAACCACCGGTGATGGGATTGGGTATGCTGGCTGACAGAACGAAACAACCTGTGCAGGCGTGCTGCACATGACCCGAATCCTAACTCTACACATATCAGCAGGGTCCATGGAAACGAGGGGGGGCACTGAGGGAACGTAGTAAGGAATTATTGCAGTCCTGGCGGCTAGACCCTAATTATCCCGTTAAATGGTAGCCTTCCAGGGTAAAGCTGACAGCCAGTCGTGATGGCTGCATCAAAGCGCAGTTGCTTATTCATAGTTACAAGCTAAGTACCGGCTCCGAGTTAATACCCACTTGCGTATATTCGCTTTCCCACAGACCCGCGAGTTTGTCTAAGCCTGCTCGGAATGCCAGTGAAGAGTAAGGACACTGACTGACGTGACACAAAGTCTCTGTGTGCCCTACACATCGGGCAAAGGCTATCATTACAGGCGTACTTATTAAGGGTTCTTTTGTACTTTTATATTTGGGCGAAAGACTTAAAAAACGTGGTAAGCTGATACGAGGGTAGCTGTAAGGCTGTGTGCGTACGTGTCAGCAAAAAGTGTCTTAATCCTGGCAGAATATAATTAAAAGCATTAAGCAAAACTTGCAAGCACGTCTAGGCCTATGAAGTTGCTTTCTCTTTTGTTAGTTTTTAATTCTCTGAATAAAAGGGCTATGTGCTCACCAATTCAACGCAGTCATCGCTGGATTCTGATTCTTTTGTCTTGAGCGTTGATTCCGCGATCGGTGTGCCAACCTTTTCTACACAGTGATAGAACGGTAAAAATCAATTCACTCCAATGATAAATAAAGCAAAGTATACAAGTCAGGAACTGTTATATGTTTTTGAACTTCGGGTATAGAGTCCACTAGACGATGAAGACAGCAGAAAAAAACTGGTCTTGGTGTTTACACTAGCACTCTAGGTTCGCGGAATAATGCAGTTAACGCTGTAGATTTAGTGAACGTGAACCCTGAAAGGGGGTAAACACAAAGTGACGTCACAACCGAACCCGCGCACAATTTTGAGCACCCAAAAAAAGCATTTAAGCCTGCAGTATTTGGTGAATTTGAGAACCTGAGATGAGGATCCGACAAAAACTGTTAAGGTGTGCAAGAAATGCTACACACTGAGGCAGATTAGCGGATGCAAAAGAAGTGCTCCCTTTAAAATCTGTGCATAACTTCTTAAAAGTGAGAGCCCACAGCAAGGAATATGAACATAACGCGAAGGCTTACTTTCGGGAGTTGCTGCAGCAGCTCCTGTTGATGCCTCCTCCGTCGCTTCACTCTTCACTGGCACCTCACCCTCAGCAGTTGTGGGGGCAGTAGACTCCTTGGGGGGTGGCAACTCGCATTCGGGCACCGGCTTGCCTAGAGCTTTGTGCAGTCGCAGAGTGCGTTGGTGCTGCTTCCCAATTATGTGTGCTTGGTAGGTATCAGCTCCAGTGCAAATTACATCACAAAGCGCGCACCGCAGTTCGCTTAAAAGTTTACCCGGAGGTGTTGAGCCGGGTTCAATGCCGAGTTTTTTAAGGGCCTGAGGAAAATTCATAAATTGCGGAAATGAGTGCCGACGGTTAGAAAGGAGGGATGCAGGACTGAAATAACATTACTGACAAATGACCATTTCTAGCTTTTTGGCTGTCATCGGCCGGCCGCAGCCTACCCAAGGTTTGTGACTCCCAGTGTTCAAGTCCGTGTTAAATTGGTTAGGAGTCCACCGCCCTAACCATTAAGCCGCAGGTCCATTGCCCAGTAAGATGCGAACGGATACTGACCTAATTATGGTAGAGGGGCATGCATCGATTACATTACGAGACATAATCTTCCAGCTGTGGCTTTGGGGCTCGATCAAGAGCCCCGCGGGCAGCCGCAGAGCGGCTAGTAGCATGGGCAGAATGACAACGCCTTCTTACCCAATCGACGTTTCGTAAAGGAAAGTACTCAAATATACCTGTTCTACACAGGTTTCTACGTGGTTAGAGGACAGACGCTCGGTCCTCAAAATGACAATGGCTAGACGTACACAGCAATGCTTGTCTATAGGCCGAATTGCCAGTGACACATCGGTTAGCACGACGTGGCAGGCATGTGGGGGTGAAAAGTTTTTACAATGAGGACAGACTTGAACTAGTACAAAGAAGGATATAGTGGAACTTGGGTTAACCGAGCAGCACAGAACTCGTCGCATGAAACACTCAGCTTGTGAAACTTAACCAATTAAACTGCATCAATTTACTGATTGGCTGCAGAAGACCAAGGACGCACGCCCTGGGAGCCAGACTCAACGGCGGACACACGCACACGCGCTGACAGCGTGAGCGGAAGCTCGTCGTTTTTGCTAATGGTTTGCCCGTTACCTGAAATGCTCGTTTATGGGACTGCTCGTCACCCGAGGCTCCCCAATATTTCAGTATACAATCAACGCAGCTCGTCCCTCGGGTTCGAGCCTGTCGGCAGACTTGT